GATCGAATCCAATGGTGATAAGAAAAACTACCCTCTGTTTTATTGGTTCATGTATGTTAGTCATTTTCATATATACTTTTACATTGTACAGTTAATTCACACACTTTCACACATTTTTCGTACTCCTTAGTACTTTCCCACTCACACTCTTGTGCGACAGTTAATTTTCCTTGTTGGAAAATACACGTATCTATTTGTGAACGTCTTTATAGATTTTGAGAAGGCCTTCGATAGCGTTGACCGCGAAGTAATTTGGAAACTACTCGAGTACTAGAGGCGTACCCCAAATATGCATCAACCTTACTCAACAGCTGTACGACAACAGCACATGTCAAGTGAGGCGTTTGGAGTAAACACAGGAGTCAGACAAGGGTGCTTATTATCACCAATGATATTCCTAATTGTGGTGGACTGGATTATGCGTCAGACAGTGGGAAACGAGAAGACAGGGATATCCTGGACCGACGTGAAGAATCTAGAAGGCCTGGATTTCGCGCGTGGATGATTTATGTTTGATGTCACACAAAATCGAAGACTTACAAGCGGAAACCGACAAACTGGTCGAAGAGGCTGGCAGCAAAGACAGGGCTCCAGGTGAACATGGACAAGACGGAGCTTATGAAAATAACCAACCAACCAACAACAACAAGAACAGCAACATCCAGCGCCAATCACCATCAACGGGAGAGATTTGAAAGACGTTACTTCATTCACTCATCTAGCGAGCATTGTCTCAACTACAGGAGGAACGGACGAGGATGTCAACTCGAGAAAAGGGAAGGCGAGGAACACATTCATCAACCTGAAACCAATCTGGAAATCTTCGTCACTCAGCATCAACAACAAAATTCGGATTTTCAATACAAACGTCAAGTCAGTCAGTTCTTCTATACGGATCAGAAACTTGGCGGCGGGTCACAAAGAATATTTCCAACAGCCTGTTGCAGACGTTTATCAACAGCTGTCTTCGTTCTATACTGAAGATCAGATAGCCGGCCGGAAAGATTCACAAACAAGAAGCTATGGGAACAAACAAAACAAGAACCAATCGCTCAACAAATATGCAGGAGAAAGTGGAGATGGATTGAACACTCGCTGAGGAAGCCTCTGGGTGACATCGCGCGTCAGGCCATAGCTCGAGTGGAACCCGAAAGGGAAGCAGCGAGTGGGACGTCAGTGCAAGGGTGACATGGAGGAGATCGTGTGAAGGGGAGTTGAAACAGTATGGACTAACATGGATGCAGGTGAAAAGTGCAGCAGAAGACAGAAGCAAGTGGAGACGTGTAGTTGAAGCCCTATGTTTCACTAGGAACCCAAGGGAACAATAATAATAAAATAATTGGTGACCGTGGTGGTCTTCTGATTTGCCTCTTCGCATCAGGACAAATTGACCACTCAGCAGTACCAGTCGGTAAGTTATTGTCCGTTACATCTCATTAGCGTTTATATTTACACTCGGTCACACCATAATATGGGCAACGAACCCATAACATATTGGCGACGAGTGCATAACAACCTCGTTCAAATTTCTCCCGTTGATAGTGACTGGTGCTTGTTGTCGGTTAGGTATTTCCACCACATCTGTCTTGAAATCCTTCCACTCTTCGCTACCAGCTCTTCTACAAACTTGTTGGTTTTCAACTGTTAGTCTTCGAGTTTATGCGACATTAGACCACAAATCGTCTGCGAATTCCAGATCTTCAGGAGTTTCCTTATCGATCCCCACAGTCTGTTGTGTGATCCAGTCCATCACAGTTAGGAATATCATCGGTGATAGTAGGTGGGCAGCCTTATCCTACTTCTGTCTTCACTTCGAAGGCTTCGTTGAATTTTCCGTTTTTTTTTTAGGCTCACAAGAAAGGTATCATTTCCTTCACGCTTGTGGAGACGCCAATCAACGTCAACGACTTATCACCGATTACCTCTTACCACTTCACATAAATTCCACTTGCGTACATATACTACTGATTGATTGATTGATTTAAGTAGTTAGTTAGCCAATCAATCCGAATAGAAGTGATCTAAACACCGTACTCCACCCCACCCCACACACACACACGCCGTTCTGCCCATTTATAGCCTAACTTATTAACGGTACACACACACACAGTTCGACTCAGTTCACACAACCGCCGAATCAGTGGTATACAACACAACACAGCTACTCATCTTTGTCGGTCAGTAAGTAGTGTATGGTGGGCCATTCACTGATGCTTGCTTGCTTGCCTACTTGATTAATGGGGTAATAAAAGCAGATCACATGTGCACAGAGTGAGTGATTTGAGTGTAATTTCTAATAGAGCAAACAGAAACAAACTAACCTTTAACTCTGGCCAACCCATTTCTGAACCGGATACACATGGGACCTTTTTAAGCCAAGGTTTAAAGATGTACGTCCAAATTTGATTGAACAATTCATAAATACGAGTCTGTATGCAATTACAAAAAGGAAGAAAGAAAGAGAGAAAGAAAAATGAATGTTAGGGGAAACAATGTATAGTTTAAGCTACACATTCTCTCTTGGTGTTAGTAGTGCCTTCTTCTTCAAATTAGGTATCCCTTCCTTGAAATCGTGGTGAGAGCTGGCTGCCAACAAGCCAAAAACTGTAGACAACAATTTACGTCAATGTTTACGCCCCGAATCGGGATCATGAATAAAAGGACAATAACAAAGCTTAACCTTGAGGAACTCACCACCAACCAATCACACAGCAGACTTAACGTGTGCAAATACGATTCGCAGATATATATATGGCTTAACTTTCTGAGAAACAGTTGGTCACAAGCAGTACAGAATAACCTTCAGCAAGAAAAAAAAACCAATCAGAAGAGACGTTGCTTCTCCGCTGACAATAATGTACATGAAACGCTATAAATATCTCTTGATTTTCTCAATAAACAATCTGTTGCCTAGCCTTTGTCTTCTGTCGTTACAAAATATTCGCTCCCACCGCCAAGTATCCTACAGCCTTACATTGGCGTAAACCTGGCTCTTTCCCCTCCGAGGAACCTTACTAAGACAATGTTGAGCTTGTCGAGTTCTACAAATTGATAGTTGGCTTGTCATATAACTCTCATTTCTTCTATTCTTCCATCTACCCTTTATCTTGCTAAATCTCCCCCTTGGAACAGGCTTCTGACTATGGGTGAACTTTTCAAAGTTCCCTAACTTCGAGTAGGAACGTCCCTTCTGCCTCTTCCTTATACCATTCGAGTGCATTTCGGATGGTCTTTCTCCTGGTATTAGTACCTGTGTGTGTGTGTGTGTGCGTGCACAGAAATGATAACTTCAGTCTGGACACTGTCGTTCCGCTTTTCACCTCCGATGGACATACACATATGCGTGCAACCAACTTCCAAACCAACATCAATGGCACTATGATGACTCGTGATTTTTAGCACTATCGCCAGCCAACGTCATTGGGGAACACTTACCGTAAAACAAGATCAGGTGGACTCTGGTGGTCACAACTGCCTGCTAAAACTTCAGACAACTTTGTCCTGTAATCAGCCAGTCAGTCAGTCATTAATACACATCGAGTGTTAGTTTGTAGCGATTTGATTGCTTTCAACTTCGATCACTGATTGACATCAGTTAGAGAACCACTGAAATTCAGTACTGGAGTACTTGACACCTGTTTCGTCCTATTTTTGGACTCTTCATCGCAGTGCATCCATGGTCCCATAGCTATGGAGATCGAATACAGAACTACCACGTTACAAAACGAGCTCGTAAACCATTCACAGTCACTGGCAAGGAATCCAGCGGTCCATGAATTCTTTACTTCTGTCAATTCAGAATTTTAACGTCACTGACACTCACACCAAATCTGCTGGACTCTAATAGTCACGACTTTCTATAGTGTACTCTACTAACTGATATCAGTCAAATTAAATGTCTGTAGCTTACCGTCTAGTTGGCCATTGGTCTGCAGAAGCCTTGAGGACAAGATCTCGTATCTGACCATTTCTATATGCATATATTAGTTCATCTGTTGCTGTGAAGTCAGGTGCATTGGTCGTTCGACGTGCATCCTATCTAAAAACCTTCAAGAACACTACCTTACCACAACGTTCTATAAGGAGTGCGATAATTGAAAACGTTGTGTCAACAATAAGTCAGGCAATGCTTCAACCTCAAAGACAACCTGAACAGGGCGATATGATTTCATTGCATTTTGTCAACTGCTCAGAATTTCGAATAATACCAAAAGATACTCACATACTTTTTAATTACATGATCTGTATAACAAGACATGAGATTCGCTCCCTTGGTCAAATGTTAGATGATGATGATGATACAGGACTGCAATACATTGACACACTCCCAGCTTAAAGATAAGCAGGAGTGAAGTAGTGCCTGAGAGTTTTGACCATAGACTTCACTTGTTTAGGAAGTGGCATCAGCCAACTCCAACGGGTTGATCGATGATGAAATTCCCAATGCCAGTAATCTGAATAGAAATTCAGCATCATCCATTGAAAAACACTTATCAGGTCAATATTAATGACTGTTTCAGAATTATTTCACATAACTCTAATTCAAGGTTATTGAAGGTGATGGAAGCACTTTGGATTACTCACATACAGACTAAACTGTGTGTACAAAAAACAATAGACTTCAATCTTCGCCTACCATGGACTACATGACCTATCTAAATATGATTGGTCATTAGTATGTACTTTTGTTTTGTTTTTTTATTTAACTGAGTAATTGTCATGAACTTTATTTTATTATTGTTAACCATGTTGGTTGTAAAGCGGTTGTAAAGAAACTACGAAATTATATCATCTCGCGAAATTTGTCTTCTTAATGCCTTATTCAAATTATTATTATTATTACCATTACTAGTATTATGACTAATTGCACAATTTATATTCACCATCGTATTATCCTATAGACAAAACACCATGATTGGTTTATATTTGAATTTTTATTTCTAAACTTATATATATAAATATATATATATATATATATTAGAGTTAATTAAGCCTGATGAGATCTAATTGAAACCACAATATTGTTCGCTTAAACAGGTGTTGTTCTTCATTTTACCATGGGAATATTTAATATATATAGAAATTGTTAGTTAACTAACCTTAGATTCTTTTAAAGCTTCAATAATTCTCAACAACTGACATATTAATCCAGGCTTGGCCAATATTTTAAGACTAGCCAATACGGAAGATTTTCCGCATAGTGGACTAGTCGCCGGTACATCATCATCATCATTATCCGACGACAGACGATAAAAAATTGAATCGAATAGGGAATTTGGATTATTCAGTGCTTTTTCCATTTGAGCTACTGACGGTAGACAAGCGTTGAATGAAAAACTGAAAAAATCATTCGATTCCACCTGTTCATGAATTGATGATGGATAGGGGATACTGACATTAGAAAATGGTGTCACATCTTTTTGTTTTGACGGCAGCTCTAGAATAATCCATCGACACCATAACTCATCGACAAATTGAGCAAGACGATCCTTAAGGAAAAGAAAAAGGCAAAATAGAAAATTTTAGAAAAAACAGCAAGTCGAGTGTAAGGACAAATACTCGTCGATTGGAAGAAGATGGAATTCATCAGCTGGTCACTGGATCGGGTTGCAGTGGTTTAATGGTCTGCAATTTCGCTAGCCTTGTAACCAGAAGGGTTCTGGGAGCGTACTGTAAAGATTCTCGGACGAGGGAGAAACAACTGGCTATCCAGTGTTCGTGACTAGTTTTCCAATGGTTCTCTAACCGATATCAACTCACGATGAAGTCCTCTAAACAATCAAACCAACAATTAAACTAAAACAGTTCAATAATGACCGACAAGTCTTCTACAACGTACCTTATATCACCCATCACCTACTTTTCAAGAGGATTGAAAAGGGCAACACTCACAGCCTTACTTCTACTTCCGGCGTTTCTTTTGTCTCACTAACACAGAATGCAATCATTGCTTTCTTGTAAAGAGATTTCTGGATATACTAATGATTATTTATAAGTAGTACATATCACTAATAATAATTTATTATTATTATTGTTCCCTTGGGTTCCTAGTGGAACATAGGGCTTCAACTGCACGTCTCCACTTGTTTCTGTCCTCTGCTGTACTTTTCACCTGCATCCATGTTAGTCCATACACTTTCAACTCCCCTTCACAAGATCTCCTCCATATCACCCTTGGACGTCCCACTCACCGCTTCCCTTTCGGATTCCACTCGAGCAATGGCCTGACGTGCGACGTCACCCAGTGGCCTCTTCAGTGAGTGTCTAATCCATCTCCACTTTCTCCTGCAAATTTGTTGGGCGATTGGTTCTTGTTTTGTTTGTTCCCATAGTTTCTTGTTGGTGATTCTTTCCGGCGACCATCTGATCTTGAGTATAGAACGAAGACAGCTGTTGATGAAGGTCTGCAACAGGATGTTGGAAATATTCTTTGTGACCCGCCAAGTTTCTGATCCGTACGTATAGAAGAACTGACCGACTTGATGTTTGTATTGATAATCCGAATTTTGTTGTTGATGCTGAGTGACGAAGATTTCCAGATTGGTTTCAGGTTGATGAATGTGTTTCTCGCCTTCCCGATTCTCGTCCGTTCCTCCTGTAGTTGAGACAATGCTATTCATTATAATAAAGGTTTTTGTATTTCCCAATGAATGGAAAACAAAATGATATTGTTTTTACTTGTGTTTACTTTTACAATATCGTTTTGTTTTTCATTCATTGGGAAATACAGAAACCTTTATTATAATGAATATCATATACCCAGTGCCCAAATTTTTTCAAACTGTTAAAAGTGAACTTGGTTTGGACATATATAACTTGAGACAATGCTCCCTAGATAAGTGAATGAAGTAACCTCTTTCAAATCCCTCCCGCTGATGGTGATTGGCGCTGGATGTTGCTGCTGTTGTTGTTGTTGGTTGGTTATTTTCATAACCTCCGTCTTGTTTGTCTATGTTCACCTGCAGTCCTGTCTTCACCGGCTGCTTCTTCGACCAGTTTGTCGGTTTCCGCTTGTAAGTCTTCGATTTTGTGTGACATCAAACATAAATCATCCACGTGCGAAATCCAGGTATTCTAGATTCTTCACGTCGGTGGTGCAGGATATCCCTGTCTTCTCGTTTCCCACTGTCTGACGCATAATCCAGTCCACCACAATTAGGAATATCATTGGTGATAATAAGCACCCTTGTCTGACTCCTGTGTTTACTTTGAACGCCTCACTGAGTTTTCCGGTGTGGATCACCTGACATGTGCTGTTGTCGTACAGCTGTTGAATAAGGTTGATGAATATTTCGTGTACGCCGTAGTACTTGAGTAGTTTCCAAATTACTTCGCGGTCAACGCTGTCGAAGGCCTTCTCAAAGTCTATAAAGTTGAGGTAGAGGTTTGATAATAATAATAATAGTAAGACACATAGAAAGGAACTAATCGTACCTTGCATCGTATAAGTGCATGCAGCATACTTTGAAATACCAATGCAGCGTCCTTATTAAACTTTGTTTGTTCAGCGAATAAATGTTCAGCCAATTCAAGATAATGAACTACATCATCGACGCATGAACTAAGCATTAGAAAAAAGAAAAAAGACGAAATTGGGTGAGTATTTTAGCCGACATTTTCCTTGCGAAACTAGAAAATAATGGGCCTTTGAAAGATGTTATTGATGAATTTGAATTCTATTGTCGGTACGTGTAAATGATACATTTTTGATTATGAAGAACGAGAAGGAAGCAATAAACATCCTGGGTAAATGTAATGAGGTTCATTCTGCAATAAATTTTACTATTGAGAAAGAAAAAGACTCTAGTATTTCTTCATTGCTAGACGTCCTTATGACTAGAAAAGAGGATGGCACAATAAGAAAAAGTGCATATAGAAAACCTACATCAACTGACTGTCAGTATACTCATTTCTGCAGCTTCGTGCCCTTGAAATACGAACGCAATCTGGTAAAGTGCTTGGTTCATAGAGCAAGAGCAAATCTGATCGGATGAATGTCTTGATGAGGAACTTAATAATAGTAAATGGTTGCTGAGTGAAAATGGTTATCCAGAAAAGTTTATTGATAAGAATATGAATCTAAAATCAAAGCAGCCCAAGGTACAAACAGTTCCAAAAAAGGCCTTATTCTTACAAACGCAGTTCCTTGGGGAAAACATTAGCGAGATACTATCACAACGCCTCAGAAATGCGGTAAAAAGAGCATTCCCTGCTGCCGAATTACGCTGTGTCTTCAAAACCACTCCTCTTTTGCGTTCGGGAGTAAAAGACAAACTGCCTAATTTCGCCTCTTCCATGTGTATCTACCAATTTAACTGCTCCTGTGGAGTGAGCCAGTTACATAGACCGTACAATTAGACGTGTTTCTCGTCGAATTTCCGAACATCACCCTGCATGGTAGTGAAGTACAGAACAAAGAAAATTTATTCGTAGCGCTATTCTATCTCTTCTTGTGCATACAGAGCACATGGTTGATGTTAACCATGCTTTCCGGGTTATTTACCGCATACCAAAAAATCTCAATTTCGCCTTAGGAGTTCGACTACTAAATATTGCTGAGGATTTTGGGACATATATTAAGAAGCCCAATTTGTGCGCCCTAAAGAAGTTAGTTCAGACATTCTCCTTACCTTGGCCATCTACGTTTGAATGATCCTAAATTTTTGTGGAATTTTCCTAATTTTAGTAGTTATTCTATTTCCTACTATATCTTTATTATTATTATTCTAAATTCAAGCAACTTTGTGATCTTACTTAACAAACCAATACTATTTAAAAAACACCGATACTGATAATGACGACCATTCTAGAATATACAAAATATCCCCATCTAGACCGTGGGAAAACAGAAAGATTGAGCGAAGAAATATTTACTTTTCAATTAGATCCTCATCTCCTCTGGCTCTACTCTAATATACACCTATAGCACTTTTTATTACAATACACAACAGTTTACCAATCAAGTGCCACTGATATGTTTGTTAACAATAATTAAACAGTGTCAAAATGTCAATGGGTGGATAATTAACGAAGAAAATCAATACAAATTAAAAAGATAGAAATGGATAGAATAAATTAATTTTACAAGGATAACACGTAATTAAAGATGAAGTGGTCAAAATAAATAAGAATAAAATAATTTGGACAATTATAATTTAATAGGTTTAGGGGGAGGGGGAGGGGGGCAACGTAGTCCTGTCTTGTAACGATGGCCACGGTAAGGAAAGTGGCTGTACAAATTTCTTCTGTACACATAGGCTTGGTTTCTTCTGGTGGATTCCGATTGCTTCAGCTGTCTGTAGAAGACGAACTCGTAGAGCAAAGTTAAGATTAGTCGGAATGCGATAAATAATTTTAAATGCAGTATTCACGTCAACCTTATGCTCAGTATCAACGAGGTGTGCTAAAATAGAACTACGAATAGATCTTGTTTGTCCCTTGCTTAACCACGCTGGATGATGTTCAGAAATACGACGATGAAACTGCCTAATTGTACGCCCAATGTAGCTGGCTCCGCAGCTGCAGTCAAACTGGTAGACACACATAGAAGAGGCAAAATTAGGTAGTTTATCCTTATTTCTCGAACATAGAATAGGGGTGGTTTTGAAGAGACAACGTACCTCTGCTGCATAATAAGCTCTTTTAACTGCATTCTTCAGGCGCTGTGTTATGATTTCGCTGATGTTGTCACCGAGGAACTGCAATTTTATGAACATTGGTTTTTTCGAAACTGTAGCAATACTGACTCTCCTTGGTGCTGAATTCATATTCTTCTCAATAAATTTATCTGGATAACCATTTTTTTCTAAGTAATTCTTTAATAATCTTAAGCTCCTCATTGAGGCAGTCGTCTGAACAGATTAACTTAGCTCTATGAACCAGACACTTTACCAGGTTACGTTTATATTTCAAAGGTACAAAACTCAAAAAATGAGTGTACTGACCTGTTGTTGTAGGTTTCCTATACACACTCCTTCTTAGTGTGCCATCATCTTTCCTTGCCATGAAGACGTCTAGGAATGAGATACTGTCATTACTTTCTTTCTCTATGGTAAAGTTTATTGCTGAATGTGCATCATTAAACTTGTCAAGGATATTCATTGCATCATTCTCGTCTTTCATAGCCACAAGTGTGTCATCCATATATCGACAGTAGAAATCCATGTCATTAATTACTCCTTTCAGTGGTCCATTCTCTAATTTAGCGAGGAAAAAATCAGCTAGGATTGGACCTAATGGGGAACCCATAGCTACACCATCAATTTGCCTGTAATATTCCTTATTGAATTTTATTATTTATTTAAACGCAGAAAACACTTGGTACAATATGGCACCAAGAAAGATGCGCCACACAATAATAATAAAAGAACATAGATTAAAAGTAAAAATATAAGTAAAATACGGATAAAGAACTTCATCTGGAAGGAAAACAGTCATGTTTAACAAGTTCAAACAGCATTCGTCAACTATCATCAGGAAGGGAAGAAAGAAGGAAATTGCAACACGTTCGCCATTGATTACGATTCTTGGCCATATCCGATAACGTTTCGAGCCATCGATTTGAGCTATCTCGCGGACCCCAACCAGGGAGTCGTGACACACCAACCGATGCTAATCTAGCACAAATATCCTTCATCCCACGACGCCACGTCATGGACTGACCACCCCTCCGCCTTTTCCACCCCGTCCCAGGGCTAGACGAACAGAGACCTGTACGGAAGCCTCTGGGATGACATTCGCAGCACATATCCAAGCCATCGGAGCTGGTGTTTCCAGATGACGACATCCAACGAATGGTGATCTCCACTGTGTTCAAACACACGCCCTTGGACCTACGAATTAATCACACGATGATGCCATCGAACTCAAGCAATCTTGCGGAGACAGTGATGATCGAACACGCAGAGTCGCCGCACATTCTCAGCCCGGAGAGGCCAGGTTTCACAGGCGTAGAGCAACACAGCCCACACCGAAGCATAGTATAGCCGACCTTTGACAGCCAGGCTAACGTTGGGACCGCGCCAGAGTTTGCTCAAGTTGATGTATGCCACCCTAACCATCATTATACGGTTGGAAATCTCATCCGTCACCCCTCCGCCAGCATTCACACAGCTATCTAGATACAAGAACTTATCAACAACTTAAAGAGGTTCACGTGGAGAAGTGAGTGCAGGTACAGACTCCTGCCAATCTTGTAACAGTACTTTGCACTTAGACGGTGCAAAGCACATACCATACTTACAGACACTGATCGCCAACTGATTAAGTGCGATTTGGGCAGCCTGCATGTTATCGCACAGTAAGACGATATCGACTGCACACTCGAGGTCGAAAACTCTATCTCCACCTAGCAGATCTAGACCACCTTCATACACAACCTTCAGAGCTGACTCCAGAATGTCATCGATGGCAGAGTTGAAGAGAAATGGAGAGATTGGACAACCCTGTCTAACCCCACTGTTGATTGGGAACAGTGATGATAGTTGGTTGTATGCCCTCACTCTACCTGAGGTGTTTCTGTATAGGGCTTTCAAGATGTTAACAAATTTCTCAGGTACACCTCTCTCTAACAGACAGTTCCAGAGCACACTTCTGTCCAACGAATCGAAGGCAGCCCTAATATCAAGAAACACTACGATCGTTGGCCTGCAATACGTGTGGCGGTGTTCCAACAACTGACGAAGGGTGAACACATGATCAATGCATCCACGACCTGAACGAAACCCAGCCTGCTTTTCGCGAATCAATCCTTCACGTATTTTGCACAGCCTGCGAAGCAAGACAGAAGCCAATAATTTAGACGCGACTGGTAGCAGACTGATACCCCTATGATTGTCACACGAATTACGTCGACCCTTTTTAAAGATAGGGACGATGATGGCTTCGTTCCACATTGATGGTACACTCTCAGTTTCCCATACCTCCCTGAACAACCCAGTTAGAGCCATTGTAAGAGTCTCGCCACCATCTTTAAAAAGAGCCGGGGGTAAATTGTCTGGGCCGGGCGCCTTATGGCGTTTTAACACTTGGAGTTCCTTACGGACCTCCGCTTCGGTGGGTGGGTCCGTATTAACCGACCAAGGAGCACTGGGGCTAATGACAGCAGACATTGAAGCTGGTGGCCAGCTAAACTGTTTCCCGAAGTGCTCTGCCCAGCGTTCCAGGCGTCTTTTCAAACTGGTAATTGGCGTGCCATCTGCCTCACAGACCGTCTCGCTGACACCTTGTTTCTTGCTTCCGGTGGCTCGGATGAGTTGGAACAGCTTCCGACTGTTGCCAGATGCAGCAGCTGACTCAATCTCACCCGCACGTTCTGACCACCAGGCCTCGCGGTCCTCACGTAAACACTTTCTTATCTTGCGCGTCAGCGCCTTTCTCTTATTGCTGTATTCGCTGCCAGCCGGAATGGACCGGCGTTCATCCAGGAGTTGCAAGGAACTCGCAGAAACCCAGTGGTTTTTGGCGGAGCATTCTTTCAAGCCGCAAGCGGCTACACTAGCTCTTTGCATGCCACCTTGCAGATGGAGCCAATGTTCATCTATACTACTTGGGGGGTTGCTG